ACCTGCTGGTATTTTGGCAAGGACATTAGCAGCAAACTCTGGCCAATATGAAACAAAGCTGGTAAGAAGAAATATCGATGTTACCACAAGTAGAATAACCGGTAACACGCTCACAAATCGAGGCAGTTTGTGACCATATATGATTCAGCATCGCGAGAAGGACATTAAATAAAAAGAGCACACCAACGTGAGAAAAAGTAGCGGATACCACTAACAATTCATCTTCACATAACCCATTCGAATATCGTCTGAATAATCCATCTCTGTACCGGGTGTAAGACAAGAAACTGCATTCGATTTATTTTCGATTTTTCTCCAGTTCCTTAAACTCCTTGTAGCTGGTATTTTTGCAGAAGATAGTCCGGTGAATTCTCTTCAAAGTGTTATATGACATGCTGTAAAAACTATTTTTTAATCTATATTTGTTTAAAATGAACGACAAAGATCTGCAAAAACTAGTAAAAATTAAATATGAAAAAGGTGATGGACCGACGAAAATATTTCGTGAATTGAACGATGCCGTTTCACTTCAAACACTTAATGTGTGGATTAAAATGATTGAGGATACTGGTAATATCTGTTTGTTGAAACCTCCTGGTCGCCAACGTACTATTTGGATAAAAGCAAACATTTAGAAAGAAACAGCGATTGGGCAAGAAAAAGGGCGTGTCAACAACAAGAACTGAACGTGCCGCTTATGAGTGCCTGTCGAATATTGAACAATGATTTTCGATGTTTTCCGTACAAATAAGTTCCAGAACTCGCCATCATCGATTTGCAGAAAAGAGTGAAATTTGTACATTGGACAATGTGCCCAATCGTTGTTTCTTTCTAAATGTTTACTTTTATCCGAACAGTACGTTGGCGACAAGGAGATTTCAACAAACAAATATTACCAGTATCCTCGAGCATTTTAATCCACACATTAAGTGTTTGAAGTAAAACGGCATCGTTCAATTCACGAAATATTTTTTGTCAGTCCATCACCTTTTTCATATTTAATTTGAAAAATTAGAAAAATCAAAAATACATCAAGTGCAGTTTCTTCTGTTACATTCGGTAGAAGTTTTAATAATCACCTATGATGGTGCTGCAATACCGAGGATAGGAATATCAAGGCTAAGATACTGAGGATTTATGTTATCAACAAAAGTATCCCAGTACGATACATTTCTGTGTCAGTAACTATAATCTTCATTTTAAAAGTTTTTCGTAGCATTTCTCTTTCGTTAAACTAGTTTTATTCATGAAACTCTTTTGGTAGATATTTCGTTTTCTGTTTCAGTTTTTTTTACATTCTAATTCAGACGAGAACAAGATGAGTATGGCATAAAAAAATATCGATGTGCCATCCAATCAACTTTATCATTAGAAGAAAAATTAGCTGTATGATATCACCAAAAAACGTATTCAGTATCTGTATTCCTCATGTATTGATGTTCTATGAGATTAATAGAGTGAGAATTTCAGTTTAGTAACTAACCATATGACAATTTTGATTTGCACTTCTTTGACACCTTTTCTAATAGCCTCAAAATTTTTATTAAAAGCGTTTATATTTAAAGAATACGTGTTTGTTTAAGACTTGAGCTGTTGAAAACTACAACAACGAAAAGTTTGACAAGTATTGCATCTAGCTAGACACTTGTAATCCTTGTGAATTGAATTACTTTTGTTACATATGATGTAATATTTTTTCTCTTATTTCAAAAAAAATTGGCTTGGAAAGTCAAAATTGATCTTCCCTTTACTCTTTGCTCTTGAATCTCATACTTTATTTTAATGTATTTTTAAGTGTTTCTTTTTAACACAATTTTTCTAAATGAAAATGGCAAGAAAAGTTGGTTTGTTTTCGAGGCATTCACGACTTTAATCATTGTGCTGAATATAAGAAAGAACAGCGCAGTTGATTTTTGCCGTTTGTCTGCAAAGATTAAATTCGTGTGATTGATCCTAGTTTCGTGCAAGGATTGATTTTATGTTTTGATAATTTAAGTTTCAGATGATATAAGGGGAATTTATATTCTCCATTTCTTTTTGATTCAAGATTAAAGCTTAAATCAGATGTTGTAAGATGATAAAGAATCATACAAACATAGAATAATTTGAGTTATGGCACTTCGTTTCTTGGTTTTGACAAATTAGATAAGGTTCGCTTGTACTAGAATATTTAGACGTTTCATAAGTTTCTCGTCACACGTAAAATCTGTAGACCATTTCGTTTAAATTTTACTGTTAGAGGATGATACAATAGCCATTTGACATTAAACAAGAAAGAAGATCGAGCTCAAAACAGTAGATTTTAGACAGAATTATACGTCGCTTACCAGATATCTCATAATGAATATGGTCATTCGTTTGAAAATTTGAAATGGAGAAAACTTTCATATGCGATATTTATTGATGCAAACGTTCATATCCTAAAGAAACCATTGAATCAAATAAAAAATAGATTTTTAGATTAAAATAGTTTACCGTTTTGTAGCGTTCCAACATTTTTCACATGGGTTTTATTTCATAAATTTTTCTTAAATATAGGTTAAAGCAAACTCTGCTACAGTATAAATAGTCAGATACATTCATTTTCAATGTATTATGATTTTATATGGTATTATATTTAAAAATTGAAAATATTTTCAGCAGTTATATAGTTCAAACACAGAAGGCATGTTTCCTGATCACTGTGTTATTATACATCGAAGTCGCTAATGAGTTTTCTTTTTTCTCTTACGTTAGCAGAAATTTTTTCTTTATTTTAAAGTGTATTTTTTTTTATAGTATTTAATGCATATAGTAGAACGCGTTAAAACTGCTTCTATGAAACTTTATAAAGTTAAACTGAATTAGATTGTGTTATTTATTTCAAATAATTGGACTTAATACTGTAATTAATGTGTTCGTAAATTATTTCAATAGAGCGAGATTCTACGCGGTAATTTCTTCTCGCTAACAAACGCGTTAGAGACTGTAACCCGTACACATACTTTAAAATTTGATAGATATATCTATCTAGTAAATTTATTCAACGTATTATAACCCAATAATTATTTTTCTTTTTTTTTCCCTTATGATATCCCTTATATTTTCTATTGTTCCACTCTCATCCACACACACCATTCGAAAAAAAGACAATTCTCTCTATCATACGAAAAGTCAGAATAATTGACCATTTTAATCTAACCTTTTTAGAACATTTCAAATTTATATTAAAATGTTTTTCGTACATTTTCAAAAAATTGATCTAGTTTCTATTCAACAATAGTTTTCTAACGTAAAATGGATCAGTTTTGTAACTTGTGTAATTATGTAGTGTTAAACACAGAAATCATTCGGATAGGTATTCTGAAAAACCATCGGAACTTTGAAGGTAAACATTTTCATACTTAAATTTGCAGTTTTTGTATGTGTCGTTCAGAAATGTAAACTGAATGAATTTTTTTAAAATAATATGAAGAAACAAAACAAAATATATTTGAATTCACTCTAATCTCATCAACATTGAAATCTTCTCTTTCCACTGAGTGATGCTCATCTGTACACATAGAAACCAATCACTTTTTTTTTCATTATGTTGGTTACAAATGTTTCTTCTTTTTTTCAAAAAAAAAAATAAAATTATAGTCGCCTCATTTTCTCTCTGATCAAAGTTATACATTGTTCTGTTTTTCTGCTCTTAGTTCAAGTTCTGCATCTCATTCAAACTATAAAAAATACTTTATTTCCTTTCTTGTTCTTCCTCTAATTCTTTATACTCAAATTGCAACAGTCGTATATTTTTAAAAGAAAAGTGTAAAACCGGTAAAAGTAAGGAAAAATATCTCGAATTTCAATCTGTATTAGATAGAACCACCACAATAAGATCATATTTCCTTCATTGAGAAAAGGAAGAGAACTAGGTAGAACCGTTGGAAAGAAGAGAAAAACTGATCAGCTGGTTGTATTTAAGACGAAAAACAAAAGGAAACAAAAATGTTGGCCTTAAACAGATGTTTAGTGTAAGATCTAGGTCAGAACAACTGTTTGAAGCTATCTGAAAAACAAAATGTTGGCGTTAAACAGATGTTTGGAGTAGGGTCTAGGTCAGAACAACTGTTCGAACTATGTGAAAAACAGATGTTTAGTGTATGGTCTAGGTCAGAACAAGCGTTTGAAGATGTCTGAATAAGAAAGCTCTAATTTTTTGTTTTCTCTATTTGTGGAAGATATCTATCTGGGTTTTTGAATTTTACCATCCAACCTTCTTACAGGCACTTTAAATGCTCAATATGCGACCAAGTCCAATTTTCTTTGTTTGACAGTTGCATGCAACGATCGTGCTTATTCCATCACCTGTTTATAAGTCCAATTAGACTAAATCGAAAGCAGAATATATATAATATGGATTCTCTATATAAGCGTAGAACTAAAATCAAAAAAAGATAAACGAAAAATCAAAGAGGGATTTTCCCAAGGAGGAAACAGCAGATATTGTGACTTTTGTAATCTGGGCTCCGTTCCACAGGCAATCAATTCTTTTCAAATTTTGTTGTACTCCTGGAGACTCCTTGGTATTCTTTGTGACTTCGCTGAGCCCGAAGAATTTTCCTGCGTTTTTAGCCGCGTATTAGCCCCAGTTTCAGTCATTTTTACAGATTTTCGAGATTTCATCGAATTTTAATCCATTTTTCCGATTATTTCTTGTACTCCCAGGGATTCCTCCAGTTTCTCGAACTTTGGGAAGTTTGTATAGGATTCTCCAGGCTTCTGTAAGTCTGGGCGTCCACAATTGCTTGGAATTCTGCTGTTTCTCCCTTGGGTTTTCCTTTCAGGGTCGATTCGAGAAAATTGTTGTATAATTTAGCGTTAAGTAAGTTTGATATTATGATTCAGTTAAAATAATTGTTTGTAATGTCTTGCTTGTCACTGACTTGGCTTGATTAAGAAAAAACCCATAGGTAAGATAGATATATTTGAATATTTCTTTTAGATTTTAATTTTGGTCGTCAAATAAAACTGCAGTGATGGCTGAAGATTTGGAGTTAAATGATATACGTGTAAATTTTGTGGCTGATTATGTATTAAAAACTCTGAAATTAAAATCAGACAAATTTGCCAAAATGTATGGAGTTGAAGAAAATAAACAATTGATTCATGAATTTTTTGATAAAAATGAATCTCAGATATTGGTTATTCAGTATACGGCAGCGGGTTCTCTTCAACCGTCAACCGTATTTCCAAATGTTCTCAAAAATAAATCGTGTTATTTCATTAAAAAACGACGTGAACCAACACCAAGAGATAGTTCATTCAAAGATACACTTATGTACGGTGATTTATCAACAGCACCACTCGATCAACTATCAGCGATGGTCGATGAAGTAAGCCAAACATATGTTTATTGTCCATTTTATGTGATAAATCGTGTATTCTAGTGGTCTTAGAAGGTCTTGACTTTTCTCATACATAGAGATATATTTTTTTTCTATTTTAGTTACTGATTCCATTATTGCAAAATCCAATGAATAATGAGGCTTGGCCAAAAGTATTATCACAAGATATTCTGAGACACGCATTGGGTATTAAAAATAAAGTACATATATTAAATGGACAAATGAAAGGTATGATTTATTTTTTTACTTCAATACTTTAGTATCGTGCATACATTTATCCGCTTTAGGTAAAACGTTGTTACCGGTCCCAATTGGTGCTGAAAAAGTGACAGGAGACAATTTTGAAAATGGTCATGCTGTAGACACAACATTGTTACATGCCATTGAATCTGTTGTTATTGAATGGTCACATCAAATACAAGATGTTTTGAAAAAAGATTCATCACAAGCACTTCTCGAAGATCAAAATCCATTACCAAGAAATGAAGTTGACTTTTGGAAAGCAAAATATGTTAATCTACTAAATATACATGAACAGGTATGTTTTGTAATTTGTTTATCATCCAATTTTATAAAATTATGATTTCACTTTCAGTTGAGTGATCCACGTGTTAAAAAAATGGCAGAATTATTGAAAAAGACAAATAGTAGTTATTATCCAGCATTTGATTCTCTCTTGCAAGATGTCAACGATGCATTAGAAGAAGCAAAAGAAATTGATTTATATTTGAAACCTGTAGCACAACATTTTGATTCACTTGAAACAACAGATTTTAGTGAAACAGCACCATTATATGGTCCAATGTTTCACACAATGTGTCTAATGTGGGCAAACTGTAAATCTTATCGAAGACCAGCCAGAATTATCATTCTATTACAAGAACTAAATAATTTAATCATGAAACAAGTATGTTGAGAACTAATATCATTCTTTTTAAGAATTTTGAATAAAATCGAAATGTTTGTTCATTTAGGCTTCAGAATATTTGGAACCAATTGATTTGTTCAAAGGTGAACCGGATGAGTCAATGGAGAAAATAAATCAGACCTGTCGTGCATTAGACGCTTATCAATCAGCTTATAATCGTTATAAATCAACTGTGAAAGACTATTTTAAAAATGGTGAAATACCAAAAGAATGGGATTTTTCACCAAAATTAGTATTTGCCAAATGGGATTTATTTATGCAACGTGTCAAAGTTATACAAGTAAAAAGATAAAAATTGTCCTTCCGTTTTTTATTTTTAATATAATTAATAAAAAAAGTTATGTCTTTGTTTTATAATTTTTTCAATTTAAGGATTTATTTCAAACAGCTGCCGAATTTTTACGTTTGGAAAAAGTTGAAATTGGCGGTGTTAAAGGAAAGACATTGAGTCAACTTGTTATTGAAATATTTGAACAATTTAAAGAAGAATTCGAAAAAATGAGTTCAAAAAAATACGATCCATTAGATCCAAATTGTATTGTAAGTACACTTAAATTAAGATTTTACCGTAAATAATGATCGTTTTTTCTGTTTTTAGGAATTTCTTGATGATATTGCGAGTTTTAAATTATTTTTAAAAGATCAAGAATTAAAATTAGCAGCAATTATTAATCAAGCATTCGATGATTCCAATAGTTTAGCTAGTCAATTTAAAGTATAAAAATTCATTAATTTAATATATTATAAAATTTAATTTAATTCTATTTTTTTTAAGTTAATTTTGATTCTTGGCTCAATGGTCGAACGACCAACAATTCATCAAGCATTTGTTAAAAATTATTTTCGTTTAACACGTTCGGTTGAACAAGAAATAGATATATGTCACGATATATATGAAAAACAAATTGCCTATAGACAAATACATGGAACAATCGAACTACATCGTAATCAACCACCAATTGCGGGCTCTTTAGAATGGGTCGACGAAATGAAAGCTAGAATTAGTGAACCTGTTGAGTATTTTACAAAATTAGACTATCCGTAAGTGAAAATTTTTGTGAGTGATAGATATACTATGAGATTAGTTGTTTTTTTTCACAATACTTTCTAGAGCTAAAGATACGGACGGTGGTAAAAGATTAATGGCCAAACATGAGGAGTTGCTACGTTTATTGAACGATTTTGCTAAGGAAATATTTAGTGAATGGTCAACAAATGTTGGAAAAGCTGCAAATTTCAAACTTAAACAAAATTTATTAATAAGAAATCCAGAAACAAAATTAGTTTTGACTAACTTTGATGCACAGGTAGATTTTTGGTCATATAAATTCAGAAAAGATTATCTTACACGTTTATTATGAAGTCATGGATGATATTCTAGTCTCAAGGATTAATGTTTCTGAATTAATCTCTATCTCTCTCACACTCATTCTGTCATTTACTTTAGTTAATTGGCGTATTGCGTGAAGTAAAATATATGCATCAAACAAAACAAGAACAAGCAACAATTCCTGAAGATGCTGCTAAAATGTATCAAGAAAATGAAAAATTTGTTAATTATGTCACTAATTTGGATTATACAACAAAATCTTATAATAAAATTCGACGAACACTCCAACAGGTCGAATATCCACTTGTTGAAAAACAATTGGAACAAATTGATGTTAAATTAGCAAGAGCAGAAACAGATCTATCATGGGATACACCAGGTATAAAGTTCATCCGTCTCTTATTATTCGGTTAAAACTACAATTTATGATTTAAAACATAGAGTTGTATGCAGATGATGAATCTAAAGAATTGGCCGGTATTAAATAAATGTGATTCATATCGTCGTTAAGAAACACTTGCATGTTTGTTTTCTTCTTACACTTTTTGTCGTCGTTTATACATGTATATATATATAATATTTTGCATGCTCAAATTTGTCATTTTAATTTTGCCCATGATTCCTACTTATCATCTATCTATTGTTTTAGAAATTTGGGATTATATCAAGAGTACGCGAGCTGAAGTTCATGATTTGGAAAATCGTTTACACAAAACAAAAGCAAATGTAGAACAAATTCAACGTATAATGTCAACTTGGCAAGATATTCCATTATATAAACGAAGTGAAGGAAAATCTACGTTACTCTATTTGGATGATAAAGAACAACGATTAAATAATCGTTATAAAGAAATTGAAGAAGCGGGAAAGAAAATACATGCATTACTAAAAGTAAAATTTATTTAATAGGAAATAAAAAGGAATGAAGAGTCATCATATTTTATTTATAGGAAAATGGTGAACTACTTCGTGTTGAAAATTATGATATTGATGCTTGGCATAATTATGTTGATTATGTTGATAAAATAGTTACCGATGGTTTTCGAAAGATAATTCAGTGTAATCTCGCATTCTTTTTAAAAGAAACAGATCCCACACAAAATCCAGATCCTCTATTCGAATCACAATTGCAGTTACAAGTATGACATTATATCATCTTTTTATATTCTTAATAGGAATAGGAAGTTTTCGTGATTTTATCTAGGCTCCATATATGGTTTATGCACCGTCGATGGATGAACACGAGAAAAATAGCTTTTTTGCGTTAATTGATGGACTTATTGGCACAATTTATAAACAAGGAGCACTCATACCGAGATTAGCTAGTCATAAAAATCAACAAAATTATCAAGTAAGTTGTCGTATACAAACATTTTATGATATATGGATATTTTAAATTCTTGAGATAGTTCTAAAATACTGATTTTACTCTAAATGTTACCTTTTACAGTTCATTTACTAAAGTTATAAAGATGACAGTGTTAAATAATGTCGTATTTATTTTGTGTGTTTAGTCTGAATTAGAAACGGTTCAAGATTTATCTGATTTACGTTCGGAATTTATTGATCGTGTTCATAATGTCATTTCGAAAGCAAATGAATATCGTACCTTTTTCAATAAATATGCTTATCTGTGGGTTGATGATCGTCAAGAATTTATGCGACAATTTTTATTGTATGGTCATGTGTTGAGTCAAGAAGAAATAGAAGCGAATGCTGAATCAGGAGTACAGCCAAAGCCACCAACATTACAACAATTCAAAGAACAAGTATGAATACTCATAGCAAACGCTAAAACTTGCTAAAACAAACAGCAAGAATGCTACAATTTTCGATTCTACTTACTTTTGAAAATCACAGCTGTTAATGCACTCATTCTAGGTTGATACATATGAGACAATTTATGATGAAGTTAGTAAATTTGAAGATACAAAAGTCTTGGACAGATGGTTCCGAGTTGATAGTCGACCGTTTAAACAAGCCCTACTAAACACAGCTAAAAAATGGTCATTTATGTTCAAACAACATCTGATGGACGATGTCACAAACAGGTAAGAAAGTGAAATTTTGTTCTATTCGATTCGATTCTTATCTATCATTCTAGTCTTCAAGAACTAAGTGATTTTATTAAACATCATGATAAAGGTTTAAATGTTGATGTTGCCGATGGTGATTATCAATCGTTAGTTGGTGTTATGGGTCATTTGGGGGCAGTGAGAGAAAAACAACCAATTTTTGATGTGATGTTTGATCCACTGAAACAAAAATTGGAATTATTAAAAGCATATGGTCAAGAAATATCAGATGATATTTATGAAAGATTAAATGTACTACCAGAAAAATGGACAAATACCAAAAAACTCGCATTGAATGTTAAACAACAAGTAGCTCCATTGCAAACTAATGAAGTAGCAAATTTGAGACGAAAAACAGCCAGTTTTGACGTTAGACAATATGAATTTCGAGAAAAATTTCGAAAAGAATTACCATTTGCCTATGATAATAAGCGTGTTTATAAACAATTGGATAAAGGGCATACGGACATATCAAAGATGGAACTTGAAATGTTACAGTTGAACTCATCAGCTGCTCTCTTCGAGGTAAACGTACCCGATTTCAAACAAGTTAAACAATGTCGAAAAGAAATTAAACTATTAAAACAATTGTGGGATTATATTAATTTAATTCAGACAACATTTGAAGATTGGAAAAAAACGAAGTGGAGAGAAATTAATGCTGAACTAATGGACACTGAATGTAAAAAATTTGCAAAAGATATTCGAGGTAACAAATAAGCAAACAGCCTTAAACGATAAAATATAAAATTTAATAATTTCATTTATTTTAGCATTGGACAAAGAGATGCGTGCATGGAATGCTTACTCCGGTTTAGATGATGCCGTTAAAAATATGATGACATCATTGAGAGCTGTTACCGAACTTCAAAATCCGGCTATACGAGATCGACATTGGTTAGAATTAATGCAAGCAACGGGTGTCAAATTTGAAATGACCGATTCGACAACATTTTCCGATTTATTAGCTCTACGTTTACATCAATACGAAGATGAAGTCAAAGGTATCGTGGATAAAGCGGTTAAAGAAATGGCAATGGAAAAAGTATTGAGAGAATTAGATAATACATGGAAAACCATGGAATTTGGCAGTGAACCACATACACGAACGAAATTACCTCTAGTACAAGTCACAGAAGAATTAATTGAAGTTCTGGAAGAAAATCAAGTGCAGTTACAAAATATGTTAACATCGAAATATATTGCACATTTTCTTAAAGAAGTAACAGATTGGCAAAAGAAATTGTCACAAGCCGATCAAGTGATACACATTTTGATTGAAGTGCAAAAAACATGGTCTCATTTGGAATCGATCTTTATCGGTTCACAAGATATTCGAAATCAATTACCAGAGGATAGTGCTCGTTTTGACTCGATTGATAAAGATTTTAAACAAATATCCGAAGAAAATCAAAAAGATTCAAATGTTGTCAAATGTACAAATCGACCAAAATTGTACGAACGATTAGAAGATCTTAAAGCAAGATTAGCTCTTTGTGAAAAAGCATTAGCCGACTATTTAGAAACAAAACGATTGGCATTTCCAAGGTATTCATAGGAAAATATTTTATTATTAAGATTTGAGCAATTTATACTGTATTTATTTAGATTTTATTTCGTTTCGGCTGCGGATCTATTGGATATATTATCAAATGGTAATGAGCCTGAGAAAGTGATGCGTCATTTAACAAAATTGTTTGATTCAATGGCTAAATTAAAACTAACTGAAGAAAATGGTGTCGTGAAAAAAGAAGCCAGTAAGTACAGTGGTATTTGATATTAGTATGTTTGTGAACTTAAAATTTACATATCAATTAGCTGCTATGTGGGCGAAAGATGGCGAATACATGACATTTCCATCACCATGTGATCTTAATGGTCAGGTGGAAATTTGGTTAAACAGGTACGTAGTTATTTTATATGTCGTAATATAACTATTAATGAAGTCAACATGTTTTTTGTAACATACCATCGTACCCCACTCGAATAAAATAACAGGATTATAGTGATGGACTTCAGTTAAAATACTCGCTAGACAATGTTCTATAGTCAACAAATAGAGTCTAAAATCTTCAAATTTGCTCAATTCATCAATAATATTGACTCAGATCAAAAGGATTTGTGTCAGCTGTTTGGCACTGCTAATAATAAGAAATTGACTTGATGTTGTATGAAATTTGTTGTTTCTCCATCTGTATGTTTCCATACAACATTTTCTGTCCATATTGATCTCACCAAACAAACTTCTCAGTAATTGTTTTTTTTTTCTATTAGCATTTTTTCTAATGGTATAAAATTGTATTTGATGCTATTAACATGATTTAGATGCATAATCGGTAATAAAAAAATGAAGCACATACCCTAATCACTGACAAAACTAATATCTGATACTGAGACAGTACATAAACTTCGATGAAATTAAAAAACTCGAAAAAAAGAGGTCTTTTTATCTTTTTTTGAATGTACTAATTTTAATGATTTTTTATGTTTATTTAGATTATTAGAAAAACAATGTGAAACTGTGCGATATCATTTAACAGAAGCCGTTCAAGCCTATGAAGAAAAACCGCGTGAACAATGGATTATGGGTAAGTTTAGTGAAAAAGAAAAAATATGAAGAAGTCTATGTTCTATTTTTTATTTATATTCAGATTTTCCTGCTCAAGTGGCATTGACTGGTTCTCAAATATGGTGGACAGTCGAAGTAAATGCATCATTTGTCAAACTAGAAGAAGGTTACGAAAATGCGATAAAAGATTATTATCGAAAACAAGTGAATCAACTTAATGCACTTATCGTATACTTGCTTGGTGATTTAAATACGGGTGATCGACAAAAAATATGTACAATATGTACAATTGATGTGCATGCAAGAGATGTGGTGACCAAATTAATCGCACAAAAAGTATGTAATTTATAACGGATTCTTTTTATTACTTTTCTCCTGTTGTGTATGTTTAGTGTGAAAGTGCCAATGAATTTTTATGGCAATGTCAATTACGTCATCGTTGGGACGAAGGTGAAAAAGATTGTTTCGCAAATATTTGCGATGCTCAATTTCGATATGCTCATGAATATTTGGGAAATCAAGCTCGATTGGTCATTACACCATTAACGGACAGGTATGTCGCAATATGCATTCACTCAAAAGTGACTACTCTTTTCTTATTATTTAGATGTTATATAACATTAACACAATCATTACATTTGGTGATGGGTGGAGCACCAGCAGGACCAGCCGGTAAGATAAATTGATAAACATCTTGATTAATTAAATTTTGTTTTTGTTTTTAAGGTACTGGTAAAACTGAGACAACAAAAGATCTTGGACGAGCATTGGGTATTATGGTCTATGTCTTTAACTGTTCGGAACAAATGGACTATAAATCATGCGGAAATATTTACAAAGGATTATCACAGACAGGTGCCTGGGGTTGTTTCGATGAGTTTAATCGTATAGCAGTTGAAGTATTATCTGTTATTGCTGTTCAAGTAAAGACAATTCAGGTATAATAAAAAGATATTTTTATATCCAACTTTCTTCAAATTTTTTTCATCTATATACTAGGATGCTATTCGGGAGAAAAAATCTCGTTTTGTCTTTATGGGTGAAGATATTCGTTTAAATCGAACTGTTGGCCTATTTATCACAATGAATCCTGGATATGCTGGACGAACTGAATTACCAGAAAATTTAAAAGCATTATTTAGGTACAGATAAATATAATATTATAAAATGAAACGATAATTTTATGTTTTCTCTAGACCATGCGCTATGGTAGTTCCAGATTTTGACTTAATTAGTGAAATTATGATGGTTGCTGAAGGATTTACAGATGCACGATTATTGGCAAGAAAATTTATTACACTTTATTCGTTGTGTAAAGAATTACTATCAAAACAAGTAAGAACCGTTAACGAAGGATCTGTGCATTGAACTATTTGATCTAATAATTTTGAGACAATAATTTATAATTTTCATTTTATCTAGGATCATTATGATTGGGGTTTACGTGCAATAAAATCTGTATTAGTTGTTGCCGGTGCATTGAGAAGAAGTGACCCTGGTAGACCAGAAGATCAAGTAAACCGATAACTCACTTCTTATATATATCTAGTGGTTGATAATTATTTATTTATTTATTTTTAAAGGTGTTGATGCGTGCTTTACGTGATTTTAATATTCCAAAAATTGTCACAGACGATATGCCTGTCTTTATGGGTCTTATTGGGGATTTATTTCCTGCCCTTGATGTACCTCGTAAACGGTATGTAACGTGATTATTTGTCTTGTTTTATCAAAAATTTTTAAACGTGTCTTCCTATTTTCTCAGTAATCCCGATTTTGAAAAATTGGTTAAACAAGCCACTATCGATTTAAAACTTCAACCAGAAGATTCATTTATTCTAAAAGTTATTCAATTACAAGAATTATATGAAGTGAGACATTCGGTATTTATTGTGGGTAATGCTGGAACAGGTAAAAGTCAAATATGGAAAGTGTTAAATCGTACATATCAAAATCAAAAACGGAAACCGATTGCTGTCGATTTGAATCCAAAAGCTGTGACAAATGATGAACTGTTTGGTATTATTAATCCAGCAACAAGAGAATGGAAAGATGGTAAATGAGAAATGAATGTGTGTCGTAGCTATGATAAACAATCTAATTTTGATTTTTCTAGGTTTATTTTCTACTATCATGCGTGATTTAGCTAATATGACATCTGACGGTCCTAAATGGATTGTACTTGATGGTGATATTGATCCAATGTGGATTGAAAGTTTAAATACAGTTATGGACGATAACAAAGTCTTGACATTGGCTAGTAATGAAAGAATACCGTTAAATCCAACAATGAGATTATTATTTGAAATAAGTCATTTAAGAACAGCAACACCAGCCACCGTATCAAGAGCAGGTATACTGTATATCAATCCACAAGATCTTGGATGGGTAAGTTTAAAATGAAAAATAAGACAAGAATAACTACTATTTGAGTTTGTTATTCTTCAATCTTTAATTATCCTGTCCTATTTCGTTTGGGTTTAGAATCCTCAAGTTGCTACATGGATCGACACTCGGGAACAACAAAGTGAACGTGCAAATTTAACAATTTTATTTGATAAATATGTTCCAATGTGTTTGGAAGCAGTTAAATCTCGTTTCAAAAAAATTACACCAATTGTTGAAGGAGCGCATATTCATATGCTCTGTCGATTACTCGAATGTGTGTTAACACCAACCAATACACCTGTCGATTGTCCAAAAGATTTATATGAACTCTATTTTGTATTTGCTTGTGTATGGGGGTTTGGAAGTGCTCTATTTCAAGATCAGATCACCGATCATCGATTAGAATTTTCAAAATGGTGGGTAACAGAATTCAAAACGGTCAAATTTCCAGTACAAGGAACCGTGTTCGATTATTATATTGAATCAGAAACAAAAAAATTTGAACCATGGACAAAATTGGTGCCAAAGTTTAGACTTGATCCAGAAATTCCACTACAGTCCGTTCTTGTTCCAACAGCTGAAACCACTCGTTTACGTTATTTTACGGATTTGTTAATGGAAAAGGGATGGCCAATAATGATGGGTAAGTATATCATCCTTTAAAAACATATCATATACTAAAACTTTGTTTCTTCTGATGTGATTTGTAGTGGGTACCGCTGGATGTGGAAAAACTGTTTTGATCAATGATAAATTAGCATCACTCAATGAAGAATGGTTGGCAGTTAGTGTACCGTTCAATTTTTACACAACAAGTGAAATGTTACAGTCAATATTAGAAAAACCATTGGAGAAAAAAGCGGGGAGAAATTATGGTCCACCAGGAAGTAAAAAAATTATCTATTTTATTGATGATATGAATATGCCAGAAGTAAGTTAGAAAAATATATGAAAGACATATGAATTCATAGAAAAATTGTCATTTATCTAGGTGGATGTTTATTACACTTGTCAACCGCACACGTTACTTCGTCAACATTTAGATTACAAACATTGGTATGATCGTCAAAAATTAGCATTAAAAGAAATTCATAATTGTCAATATATATCGAGCATGAATCCTACGGCTGGAAGCTTTACTATCGATACTCGTCTCCAACGACATTTTGCCGTATTTGCCGTCTCATTTCCGGGCATAGAAGCTTTAGAAACGATTTACACTAGTATTTTAACTCAACATTTAGCGGAAGGATTTGCACAACAAGTACCACGTTATTCTAGCAGTCTTGTTAAAGGTGCACTCGAATTACATCGACGAATAACAGCGCTATTTTTACCAACAGCTATTAAATTTCACTATATATTTAATTTAAGAGATTTATCAAATATATTTCAAGTAAGTTAGAACACTATTCTACTTATAATAATCCCCTATTAATCTCGAAAGATCTACAAAATTTTAATTAGGGCTTCACAATGATCATTCAGATGGATGTTGAGACAAAAATTAAAGTGAACGTTTTACAGACGTTTTTAATTAGCGAGAAAATATACTATGATACATGAGTAATTAATTGCCATACAAGTTTTCTTTTTGCACCTGTGTAACACATTGGACAAGAAATTTTAGCCCTAAAATATAATAAATGATGTTCAAAACTTCTTACTTTATCCATCGAAATTATAAATAAAAATGACACAGAAACTGTATCTAGAGATATCTCATGATATTTTCTGATAATAAAAACTCGATGTCCATCCCGTCTAGTGGAAAATGGACACTTTTATATTCATTTGGTCACGTCTTATGTGAATTCATTTCCATGTCGAATATTTATTTATTTTTAAGGCCATTTTATTTGCTAAACCGGAAGCATTAAAATCTCATAATGATTTAATTCGTTTATATTTACATGAATCAGAACGTGTTTATTGTGATAAATTAGTTGATCGTACAGATATTGATACATTCATGAAACTACAACGTGAAGTAGCTAAGAAATCATTCGAAGTACGTAAAAAAATATTTGATTTGAATTATTATTCATAGTTCATGTTGTGTTTTTAGGATTTAGATGAAGAATATTGTTTTAAAAAACCGAATATCTATTGTCATTTTGCCTTGGGTGTTGGTGACCCAAAATATATGCCAATTGATAATTGGCAACAATTACAAAAATTGTTAAATGATGCTTTAGATGCCTACAATGAGTTGAATGCACAGATGAATTTGGTCTTATTCGAAGATGCTATGACACATATTTGTCGAATTAACAGAATATTAGAATTTCCAAGAGGTATCTAATCAGAAATCTTTTTCTCTTTCTTTATTCATTTTTTCATAACTTTTAATATATTTCTTTTTTTCTTTCATTTAGGGAATGCATTGTTAATCGGCGTAGGTAAGAATTGTGAGGTAGACTTCAATAAACATATTATTACCTTTCTTCTAATTATTTCAGGTGGTAGTGGTAAACAGAGTTTATCTCGTCTAGCTGCTTCAATAAGTTCTTTGGAAGTATTTCAAATTACATTACGTAAAGGCTACAGTATTGCCGATTTAAAAGTAGATTTAGCTGCTCTGTACATAAAAGCTGGCCAAAAAGGAGTTGGAACTGTATTTCTAATGACCGATTCACAAGTAGCTGATGAAAAATTTTTAGTATTAATTAATGATATGTTGGCATCAGGAGAAATACCCGGATTATTTGCAGATGACGCTGTTGAGGAAATAATTAGTGGAATGAGAAACGAAGTTAAATCACAAGGTATTGATGATACAAGAGAAAATATTTGGAAATTTTTCATAGAAAAAGTGCGAAGAAATTTGAAGGTGAGTGCCAGACGCATTAAATAATGATGATGTAGTCACATGTCTTAATTGTTTATCTTAAGCTTGTATTATGCTTCTCTCCGGTTGGTTCAACATTGCGTGTCCGCTCTCGCAAATTTCCAGCTATTACCAATTGTACAAGTATTGATTGGTTTCATGAATGGCCAGAAGAAGCCTTAATATCCGTTGCAAATCGGTATGTAACTGATATATGTAACTTTAGTTCCGATCTAATTTTAACAAATTAGATCTCTGAACATATGACAGTTGTCTACAACGGAGGTTATGATTTTTGATCTATTTGATTTCAGTTTCGTCAGTGATGTGGATGCTTTGAAACCGGAAATAAAAGAATCGGTGGCAAAATTCATGGCGTTTGTGCATAAATCTGTCAATGATATGAGTGTCACTTATTTACAGGTTTGTTGAGCTCATAAATTATGCTAATATATACTATAATCTCTTTTATTTAGAACGATAAACGTTATAACTACACAACACCAAAATCATTTTTAGAACAAATTACATTATATAAGAATTTATTATCGAAAAAAAGTCGTGAATTACAAGAGAAAATAAATCGACTTGAAAGTGGTCTTGTTAAATTGCAATCTTGCGCAAGACAAGTCGATGATTTAAAAGATAAGCTAGCAGCTCAAGAAGTAGAATTGAAGCAAAAAAATGATGATGCAGATAAACTAATTAAAGTTAGTGGTCAAATGTTCTCTTTAATATTTTCTTTGTTTCATTTATACATTCTGTAGGTTGTTGCAACTGAAACTGAAAAAGTGACAAAAGAAAAAGAGATAGCCGGTGTTGAACAAGCAAAAGTAGCTGAAATTGAAAAAAATGTTACAATAAAAGCAACTGATTGTGAACGAGATTTAGCACGTGCTTTACCTGCATTGAAAGCAGCAGAAGAAGCGCTAAATACATTAGACAAGAATAATTTGACCGAAATGAAAGCATTTCCAAATCCGCCTGAAGCCGTTTTGAAAGTGGGTGCTGCTGTAATGTGTCTATTACCACCTGGTGGAAAAATACCAAAGCCAGCCCAACGTGATTGGAAAACTGTTAAAGCAAGTATGGGAAGTGCTGATCAATTTCTTGGTAAGCAATTTCTCATTCATATGGTGTATGAGTGTGTGAGAAAACACAAAATCTGTCTTTTCTAGTTGCACTACGAACATACGATAAAGAAAATATCCGTGAAGATATGCGGAGAGAAGTGAGACCATATTTAGACGATCCAGGTATGTAGAAAAAAACAATTGTCTCGAACTGAACTTGCTCTGCGAAAGAAAACTTAGAATTAATGGGCACAGATAATCAGTAAATAGCTTACCCAGACGAAAAAAAATCGTTAGAAACGACACGAAAAACGCGTTTTTTCCGAACGCGTTAGCGAACGATCGTTAAAAGAGCCGTTTAAACGCGCTTTTTGTCGTTCAGAAGTTTAGAATAACGCGTTCTTTGACAACGCGTTTGCTAACGACCGTTAAATTAACCGTTTTCTGGCGTTTTTGTTAAACGCGTTTTCTAACGACGTTAAAATGGTCGTTGAAACGCGTTTC